TTGGTTCAATTCAGGCATGGATTCATTAGATAATTGAGAGTATACTTGTGTAATTCATTTTTGTCTTCTTAGTAGATTGTTTTGTAACTTTGGCCCATAATTTTTTTTTTATCACAATTAGAGATGCTCCAATTGTGATTTTTTCACGTTAAATCGTTGTGTCATTTTGTCTTTGATTATTTAATTGAGATTATTATATTATTTAAAAATTGAAATGTAATCACAAATCAATATCTCATGAATTTTTATATTCATTTTAAATTTTGAACTTTTAAAATAATATTAATTCTAACTAACCATTTGTATAACTAAAGGAGAGGTTAATTTAGACAATTTAGGCATTTTTTTCCCCTTTCATTACTTTTGACTAAGGGTGCTTATGGACTTGATTGACCCGCCCAAATCAGCCAACCCAACCCAATCCGTCCACTCTTAAACAGTTTCGATGGTATGGGCGGACGGATGTTGATGGAGATTTTTCAAATCTGCTTATGTTCGGACGGACGACATATAAGAGACCGAATGAGGATCCTCTCCTTGCAGCTCTTGTACTTGCGCCCGTCCTTGCAGGCCTTCGGGTCTACTTTTAGGCCCAATTTTGATGATCCAAACCGTTCACATTTTAAGATTTGTTGAGTATATCATACTTGTAAAAATCAAGTTGATCGGATATCAAAAAGCATGTGTCCGGAAAATGCATACACATATGTATGCGTATAATGTAATGGATAGAAGGAGTATGTAATGGATAGAATGAATTTATTCAACGTGAAAAGATCTAATGGTTCCATTTGAAAGATATTTGTTTGTGAGACTATAGTTCCCTTTGAAAGATCAACTGGATTTGCAAATGGATCTTTTGATATTTTTCAAGCATCATGCATTTATGGTGGTGTGCTACTGGCAATAAAAAATAATCAGATCTAAAATGCATATAGAGATGTTGAACCAAGTTTAAAGTGGGACTACACTTGAGGCTATACATATAGAATGCATGATTATTTATTTTTTGGTTTCAAATTAATTCATGAACTATATGTATTAAGTAAATCTCTCCTGATTTCATATTGTAATTACAAAGTAAAAGGACAAGGGAATTAAAAATGAAGAATTATTAATATGAAGAATTATTAAAAATGAAGAATTATGTGTATACTGAAAGTTTCGTATGCACTGTGACACAGAATTTAACCTTGAATATGAAGAATTATTAATGATTTGAATAGATCATAACTACAATGTGGTAAATTTTTACCAGTATGGAAGCGCTACATTAGTTTGTTTTAACTTTTATTTTTCATTGGTCAAAAGTGTATTAACTTGAATGTGATTTTTTTTTTTTAAACTTGGAGTGCCGTAGGCACGGGTCATCCACTAGTATATATATAATGTAGATGAGAGTATTTGTTGATGTGAAATTTGTTTATTTTTTATTGTCTCTCTCCTTAATTTGGAGGGAAATTTGAAATTATAATGATGTATTTTTTAGAAAACCAAACAATGATTTTTTTTCAAAAAAGAGTTTTCAAATCATTTTTTCAAAAAAAAATTCAAAAAAACGCAACCAAGCACAGTGAATTCAATTTACAACTAATAAAAGCTAATTCAATTTATTATTAATAGGGGTAAAAATGACATTTACATATCAAAAAGCTATTTCACATTTTATTTACTAAACACTACTTAGCAATTTTAATTTATAATCCAGCAGCTGCATCAAACAGATTAACAACTTCTAATTAAAGTTATAATTTCTAATCCATTAAATTATAATCTATAATTTGTGTTACCAAAGGCACCAAACATCCTATTGTTTTGTTTTGTTTTGTTTTTTTTTTTTTTTTTTGAGCTTAAAAAAGGAGGCTTTGAGGTGTCATCACTGCCTCCGTGGGCCCAGGCTCCGGAGTAACCAGTTGGCAGCCTGACTTGACCCAATCCATAGGAAGGGACCCACCATCGAGGCACTAATAGAACTCAACTATACGCCACAGATCCGTCGAGGGTTCGAACCAGAGTACAGAGTAGGGTCTCAAAGAGAGCACTTCCGCCCCCCTAGATTCGACCCTGGGTCAAACCTGTAGAAATGAGTTGCTTTTTCCATTAAGCCACCACCCCCGGTGGTAAACATACCATTGTTTGGCTTCATGTTTGATCAACACGTTAATTGTTCAACCCATTCAATTACAAAAATCGTAAAAATAAATCTCTTGCAAAGGTGAACATTTTTAGTTAAAGAGGGATCAAAATACATAAATATATAGATGAAAGGGTTAAAGTAATATTCATTAATAGTGGTGTAAGAGGGTCTCTAAAGTCGCATATTTTTTTTCATCAAATATAAATTTAGTGAAAAGACTCCAATTTTGGTGTTAAAAGACTATCTCCAACGGTTAAGCAAATATATCATTAAATTTGAATTTGGTGAAAAAGTACGTCTTTTTTGGCTTCAACGGTTTTATCAAATTGAGAACAGCCCCAATTTTTCACCAAACTAAAGATGTGTTGCACCTTTTACTAAATTACTGTGCGTAGCGGTTAAGTGTGGACCCATCGGACGACCAGCTGGATATTCGGCCAGACGTCCACTCGGATGACCAACTCAAGCAAAATTTTGTGAAAATTTTACACTAGGAGGTCGACCCCTCGATCGACCACCTCTTTGTTTTCTCAGTTAAAAAAAAAATAGGGAAAGGGAGAGAGATTATAACCAGGTTTTTCATTTTTTCGCATTGACTGATCAACCGGCCGGTCATCTGCCCGATAATTTGATGAAAAGCCAAATTTCTCCGTTGGAGCAGGCGATATCAAATAGAGGAAATCGTCTTTTTTTTACTCAGATTTGATGAAAAATCTGATGAACCATTAGAGATGCTATATTGCTGTCACCAAATCAGTATCAAATAGAGAAAATCATTAACTTTTCAACAAGGAGATGGACAACTGATCGGATGTCCAGCCGGTTATCTCCCAACTTCCACTTAGAGCATTTCCAACGGTTCAGTATTTTTTTCACTAAATTTGAGTAAAAAATGGCTCATTTTCTCAATCTGATATCAGTTGCTCCGACAGTGCATCAAAAGAAGGGTCATCCCATGGGTCAACCGGTTGGTCGACCGGTAAGGCTAATTTTTTATTTTATTTTATTTATTTATTTTATTACATTTTTGAACTGTTTAAACCTACTTATTTGAATTATTTGAATCTGTTTCCGGTCGACCGGCTGGACGTCCGGTAGGTTGACTGGTGGGCTCACTTGTAATGTTACAGCACAATGAATTGGTGAAGGCTTATGCAGATTCTCAATTTCGTGAAAAATTTGCTCCGTTCTCAGTTTAATATCAATTTTGTGAAACCATCAGCAAAAAAAAATTACTTTTTTTCATCAAATTCAAATTTAATATTGAATCTAATGCAACGTTAGACATGATCTTACAATTTATAGTAAAATTTACACCGACAATGTGTCCTCCCGATAATTTTTCCAATCGACCGAAAATCTGATAAAATTTCGTCAAAACAATCGATACCAATCAAGTTTTTATTTAAATTTCAAAAAAATAAAAAAAAAAATCGAAGAAGCTCAAATTAACCCAAAAACAAACACACAAAAAAGCGAAGCAGAGCAAAATCTCGTGCTGCTTCTTCGTCCTCTTGTGCGCCTTCTTCGATCCCTGTCTCTTTCTCCTCTCACTTCTTGCTACGAAATGAGAATTAGGGTTTCATACATCCTAGCTTTTCTCCTCTTCTCCTCTCCCTTCTTCCAAGGTTCGTATCTCAGATGTCGGTTACATTTCTACGATTGTATATCTATTCCTGAGAATATTATGTATATCTATATGCCCCCAATTTCATCATCTGTCTTGATGATTGCGTGATTAGTTATTGGTGAATTCTTATCTTCATATGATTGTCTATGAATTCTGATCCATGAATGCTTAGTTTAGTACGATCGATACGAATTTGATTCGGATTGCAGATTCTAGTAGTGGCTTTTTATGGATTACTTTTTGAATTCATGATTGGAAGTTCTTCTCTTTCCTTTTACTGATAAAGTCAACTAATTTTTGCTCATTAAAGCTAATTCATTTCTTTTGGTACATTTTATCCAAAACGTACTTTAGCAGTGTATCTGGTTACTGGTATCGATCAGATTTTGTGGAATTATTGATGTGTAAGTTTGTTGATAGTTTTGTATGTTGCTTGATAGTTGGTAGGTCTCAATCGGATTCAGATGTAGAAATTTCTGATGCTGCCGAAGCTGCTATAGAAGGAGGCGATCTTGGGATTGTTGGTGACGATGTTGAAGTTTTTGGGGACGGGACTTTTAGTCCAGCTCCGGGAGTGGAAACTATCTGCTTTTTCCGAAAAAATCCTTCGCGATGTGAGAATTCCATCTGTCATTATCAATTAATTTTATTTTTAAGTTAAAAATGTTATCTTTTCCTTTTTTGGACTAGTGTTTTTATTAATAGCATTTCTTTCTTTTTGCAGCCATAGCAGCAGGGGAAGAGGCTGAACTAATAGTTGGAATGAAAAATGAGGGTAATATTCTCATTTCTTGATTTTGTGTGTTTGGGGCAAGTCATACAGTATTATGATTTTTATGAAGTTTTGACAGCTTCTCATATCAATATATGGTTAGCAGCTCTGTGCTCTTCAATAATATCATGCATTGTTGTTCCTACTTTTTGTATCAGTAGTTCTTCTTAGCCTTTGTATTGAGTGGTATCCAGTAGATAGCTTTTATCTCACTTGCTACTCTTGGATGATGACAACAGGGGAATCAATTGTGAATGTCATTGCAATCAAGGCCAGTGTTCATCTTCCTTTTGATCATAGCCTTTTGGTTCAAAATCTTACTTCACAGGTAATTATTTGCTGAGTTACTTTTTTGCATGGTTTCTTATACTAGAGATGTGCATCTAGTTGACTAGGTTTGTTTGGTTGTATAATGTTTAAAACATATTTGGTCATGATGGTGGCAAAGGGTGTCTCAGGAAATGATGGTAAAACATGTAGGATATAGGAGGACCAATGGAAGCTAAGCTTGATTAAAAGAGATGTTGTTTTTGGCCATTTCACGATTAATAAGAAAACAAGAAATGGATTCCAGATCATGTTTTCAAAGGCAACACCAAACTAAATCAAGCCTTAAGTCTCATCAAATGGGGTCGGCTACATGAATCCTTCTTCTCTACGTGGCTCTATTAAAGATTATTTCGTTAATCAAATTAAATATATCCATATCTCTATTTACAATACTAGTCAACATTAATCTAGGCCTACCAGGTCATCTAACACTTCCATCTACTGTCACTGCATCGCATCTCTTCACTACTGTCTCTGTTGATCTCCGTTGAATATGACCAAACCATCTCAATTGATTCTCTCTCAACTTATTTTCCATCAGTGCTACTCCTACCTATTTCCGAATACACTCATTCCCATATCTTGTCTAAGCTTACCACACATCCACCTTAACATCCTTATCTCAGCCACACTCATCTTATCTACATGTTGTTTCTTGGTTGCCCAACATTCCGTCCCATACAATATTGTCGGTCTAATAATCGTTCTATAGAACTTACCTTTTAGTCTAGTGGGTATTTGTTTATCGCACAATATCCCAGACGCACTTCTCCATTTACACCATCCTGTTGTAATCCTATGGGCTTCATCCGCATCAATCTCCCCCGCTGTTGTGATAATCGACCCTAAATAACGAAAATGTTCACTCTTAGGCAGTTCTTGGTTCTCAATTTTCACTTATCTTCTGCTTTCATTGTTACTGTTACTAAAATTTACATTTTATGTACTTTGTCTTAGTTCTGCTTATCCAAAATCCTTTAGATTCGAGTGTATTTCTCTAAATCTCCAACTTTGTGTTAACTCTTTCTCTAGTCTCATCCACTAGCACGATATCGTCTACAAAAAGTATACACCATGGCACGTCATTCTGAATATTTCTTGTCAACTCATTCATAACTAAAGCAAAGAGATAAGGACTCAAGGTAGATCATTGGTGTAACCCTACAGTGATAGGAAATTCATTTGTCTCTTCAGTAGGCAATCTAATAGTGGTCACCACCCCTTCATTCTATATTTTTTTATTATTCTCTTCAAAAGATAGATCGCTTCCATTGTTGACCTGCCAGGCATAAACCCAAATTGATTCTCTGACACTTCTGTTATATCTTGCAATCGGCGTTCCATCACCCTTTCCCACACTTTCATTATGTGACACATTAGTCTAAACAAACCAATTGCCTTTCCAAGGAAACACTACCCTCCCCTCTCCTCCCAACAAAACCACATAAAAAGCGTTTCACCTGAAGCCTCCCTTTCTCGGCTGCAACCCACCATAATGAGTAAAGGTGCTCTCCCGCTCCCCTACACCTATAAAGCAAACTAAGAAGCTTAGCCAGCCAACTATCTCTCAATCTTACACATTCCTCCTCAACCTAAAGTCCCAGAAGACATCATTACCTGCACCTCTGACATAATCTGCCACTGCATTTTTTCTGTCAATCCAGAAATCATTTCCACACCACTAAATTTCCAAAACTTCTCACTATCCCATTCTCAGCTCTTTGGAATTTTGCAGTATGGTACACCATGTATACCTACATCCCGTCTTTTTTGCGTTCTGTATCTAAACCACCTTTAACATTTGTTGCTCTATTTCATTTTCTTGTTCTTAATGTTTGTTGTAATTTGGCTCAGTCAGTTACGTATATGTTTGTGTTCTCCAGGTTTTTAACAACGCTTCAGTTCCTCCATCAGCTCAGGCTTCTTTTCCATACATATTTGCTGTCAGCAAATTTTTGCAGGTATATCCATTGCTCTGGACGTTCATGCATGACATGTTAATTTTCTTTAAAACATTATGTATTTTAATTGTGGTTCTCATTTTAAATTTTGACGAGTTTTTTGCTTAAGCCTAAGCAGTCAGTAATTCTTTCTGTTGCAGCCCGGAACATTTGATCTTGTGGGCACCATTGTCTACGAGATAGACCAGAACCCATACCAGAGTACGTTCTACAATGGTACCATTGAAGTTACTGAAGCTGGTGGCCTTGTCAGTGTCGAGTCTGTTTTCCTGTTTTTCCTTGGAATCGCCCTTGTTGGCTTTCTTGGAATATGGATTCGTGGTCAGATACAGCACCTTTCCAAGGTAATTACATGCGTTCATCTTATGCTATAAAACATGTTGAAGATGTTATTTACCTAGGTTATCTCATTTAATTGAATGTATTCACTCTGACAATCTTAATTTTACTCGGTTACCGTCTTTAACTGTTCCATTCGCAGAAGATCTCTTTTATCTTTTGCATAGGGTATTATATATACATATATGATACATATGATTTTAGGAAAATGCTTAAGACCCCTAAAACATCACCCCTAAAATTTGCCCCCAATGACATGGACCTTGGGGAGGTTAGTGTAATTTATCCAATTATTAGTATTATTATCGACTTGGGTTGGGAGGGTGGTGGGTGGTTTGGATTTTGGAATTTGTTCATTTAAATTAGTGCTATATGCAAAAGGTTGTCCTATAGTACTTCTGTTTTCCCATTTTTTGTTGCATGTTTGACTATGCACACAGTTTGAGGAGAGCAAATTTGAATTAAATGTTTACACAAATTCTCTCTATCATATTTGAATAATTTTCTTGTGGAAGTGATTGTATTTAAATATAAATTTGAAGGGGGCTAACATAGGAAAGTACTCATTGAACTTTTTATATGTCAAACGTTGACATATAAACTGGGAGTCTGGGACACAAAAAAATGAAAAGTAAGATTTATAAAATGAGACCTAGTAACTAATACATTTGGGAAGCTGTTTGATGTTTATTGCCTGTTATCTATGATACAGATCTGGCACTAGTTTTGTGTTTTTGAGGAGAGAGAGGCACCTTTGTTGTCCTTCTTTAGTCTGTTCAGGACTTCATATGCTAATTTCCTCTGTGTGTATGTATGTATGTATGTGACCAATTCTGATAAATTGTATTTGGTATGGGATATAGACATGGTTGGATTTTGTTTTTCTTTTATTATATCTCCATGAGTTAATATTTAATTTGTTTATATTAGCTGTTGTTTCCTCCTTGAAACGAATGCTGTAATCATTTCCATATTTATGTATTTTAATTCTCAGAAAACTAAGAGGGCACCAAAGGTTGAAGTTGGAACTAAGACAACTGATTCCTCAATGGACGAATGGCTGCAGGTGTGTTGTTTACCATAACTTCTTGTCATTGGTTTTTTCTTTAACCTTGGTTCGACTTTTGCAATATGGTGCGAATAAACTGAATATTTTCAACTTAGTGAAAAAAAAGAAAAGAAAAGAACAAAAAAACTGATTATTTAACTTGAAGTTGGTTATTACTAGGAATTTTTAGGAGGATTTAACTGATCAGTCTCTCTCTCTCTCTGTCTCTCTGTGTCTCTCTGTCTCTCTCTCAGGGAACTGCATATGCTCAATCTCTGTCCAGCAAATCAAAAAAGAAGAAGTAGATTAACATGCTCTCCCAGATAAATGGCTGCACAAAGTATTGTGATGAGGCTTAGAGTCTTGTAATTCAAAGTTAGGGATTTGGTAATTTTAAGAGAGCCCAAAAAGTGAAGTAGATTTTGGAAAAATAGGCCAGGAAGGACTTGCCTCATGGTAGTGCGAGGAAGAAATTTATTACATTTCATTTTCTAGGATGCGGAAAGTTGAACCTTTTTAAAGCAAAACTGACGGAGATTTGAGGTAGGAAAGATACAGTTTTGTGGAAGTCTAGACTTTTTTTTTTGATTTCTTGGCTTTTCCTGTGAATGATTCTATGAGCTGTTGAGCTATATTCTTTTGAGAAAATTCAACACCAATGCTGGCTTTAGTCCAATGACTTCAGGTAAAAGGACATAAGATAAGCGGCGCCCCTGTTTAGGACATTGTTTCTCTTCATTAGTTTCAGCACTGGTGGTTTATGTTTGGAATGTGGAATTGTTTTACATTTGTGTGTAAAAGCATTTTGTGAGATTTGAATATTTGTATAGCATTATTAGGGGGGAAGAGAAAGAAAGGAGAAAGCAAAGAGGAATAGCAAAAAACAGAAAACAGTAAATTGACGATGTTGTCAAATGCCACTTGAGGATCTATTGTATTGTATTGTTTTCAATTTCTGTTTTTGTTTTTTCGTTCGTGATGAAAAAATGCCTAGTATCTGTTTTTGTTTTTCTGTTTGCGTTTTGTTTGCTTTTTTTTCTTCTCTCCAACCATTTTTTTGTTTTTTTGTTCAAATCTTAGATGCATTTTGCAAACATAGCATACGTTAAGATAAATTTTTTTTGTTTTTTTTGTTTTTAAAAAAAGGCCTACATGTAGAGAGGCCAATGACAATGAGGTGTTTGATGTAGACCAAACAGGTTGATATTCCTTCCAATATGAGGATAATAGGAGGACTATTTAGCTTTTAAATTGCTGATGATAAACGCAAGATTTTTACAAAATGAGAGTTAAATTTCACTAACTTTTCAAAGCAATTTTCAATTATTTTATGCATTCCCACCCCCAAATATGTATTTTCATGATGAGAATGAAAGGATGGAGGGCCGATAATTGTTGTGGGAATGTGAACCCCAATTGTCTAAAAAGAATATAAATTATAATTATACTTTTTTAAGCGATGCATGTGAAGGTTTTGTTTACTCATATCCATAAATCAGGCTATTGAATGAATAATAACATAATACAGTGGGCATTTCATGTTCTCCCAACAACATTATTGTTAAGAGATGAGGAGATTGATGTTGACTCCGGCGAAAAAGATAAATGGTGTCAAGTAATGGGTTTGTAAGAGACAATTCTTTATCAAAACCGACACTTTTACTAAGCAGGATAAGTTGAAAGAAGCATCTAACGACCTTCCCCAAGTTCAAAAGGGATTTGCAGCCTTGTCATCCAATGAGATATGTTGAAAGCAGTAATAGATGTCTCATGTAGTCTTTTGAATTATATATATGAGTAATGATTGAGACTCCACTTTTAGAAGACCCCACAAGACTCTTACAAATCTGAACCACTCATGATTTGGATCTCATACATACATGAGTGAAATTCACATATGCATGGAGGGCCAAGATTACATTGGGGTTGCGGGAGTCCTCCCCAAAGGAGGTCTCAAACATTTTCCTTATATATATATATATATATATATTTTAGAGGAAGGATGAGATGCATTTATATATAGAAGGGATGGTCATAGATCAGATACAAAAAACCCATACATATTTTGAGCATTAACTAGAAGAGAATTTAAATTAAAATCAAATTTCAATGTGAAAAGATAATTTCAATGTCCATTTTCTTCTTTTAACCGATTTAAAAACACCACTCATTCAACCACTACCATTAGCTTCTTCTCTGCAACTGTAACTTCCGTATGATATATGACAATGTTATCTTTCGTCAAAATATGAACAATTAGTGAAGTTAATTTTTTTTTTTTTTCACATACAATTTAGATCAATTTAATTGTTCGTGAGTAAAACTTTGAATGAGTTTAACATGAAATAAGTTTAAATAGTTTTTAGTTTAGTTTATTTTATGAAAACTCTACATAAAATCAAATGTTTAAATTATTAAAATCCAAAGATCATTAATGGCAAAACCAACTCTCCAACTATACAGTACAACAAAATATCAATATTTAAATTATTAAAATATTGCCTAAACTGATTTTTTTTTTTTTTTTCCTACAATATATTATAATAACTTTTTAAACAGAGATTGTCTCCAACTCTTAGATAGACTCTTTAAGTGACTATTAAATCACAGCAAACTAGCTCACTAAATGATCACCCACTAAGGTTGCTTCATTATGACATTTAACAACTCAAAAAATGTTTGTAACCTAGCTTTGCATCTTGAGCTGTGTCTGTGTGGTTGGAGAGAGATTGTCCATACTCTCTTACACAAAACCAGCACATGCTAATTATTGCATGCATAATATAATGATTTCTTTGTTAATAGTTGCATGTCCCATCAATTCTCCATCTACTTAGAATAGGATTTTTTTTTCCTTTATCTTTATTTATTAATTTTTTTAAAAAATGATAATAATTTACCAACAGAAAGTACGTAAAAAATATACATCCTGAATGATGCGTCAATAATATTTTTTTAATTTTAATGAAAATAATAAATGTTTTGATTGAAAATAAAGTGATCATATGTGAGAATTCTATTTATATGTCATTATTTATTTATTTTTGATGAGAAATAGTTCTACCAAACTAAGAACAAGACATAGCAAAGATGTCCTTAGATGTGCTACTCCATAAAACAAAACACATTTAAAGAAATACTCTTCTATCAACTTCTAATTCTGATTTGATTATGACCACCATCTTTCTAATCAACAAAATTTCAAATTTAATATTTTGTTTTACAAAAATCGACAGTTTTCTTTCTTTTGGTGTATGGTAACACTGTTTCTTGTGTCTAAATTAGTTATCATAAAATACTCAATCGAAATATCTTCAGAACAAACTTGAAAACATTTTAAAGAAAGTATTAGATAAAAAGAAATAGAGCATGTAATTACAAGTTAGGTAAAAAAGAGAACTGTGTTATGAATAGCTCTCACATGCATTGAGGCACAGGAACATATGGTTTACTTACATTTTATTAATTTATAATTAATTTCTTTGTTTCTCATTTATTTGAAATTCCCTCAACAATTTTTTTATGGGTGGGACAATATTAATCGGTTTTTATTTAGTTATTGAAAGATAAGAAATTAATAACCTATTACTATATTTTGCAATTCTTTATTGTCGAAGAGCACCACACAAATAAATTTATTTTTTACCCTATTTATACATGACAATAAGACCACATTAATAAGTACACATAAAAAATTTACTACTTATGATTAAAATTGAGAAAATACGATAAAAAATAAAATTATATGTAATATTTTCAATCATTATACATTGTCATAAATATACATTTCTGTTTCTAACTTCCAACCATGTGATATCAAAGCTCAATAATGGAGAAGAATTGCTACTATTTCAAAATTTCACCATATAACCAAGTTATATATTTATTTTGTGACGAATTTTAACCTTGGTTTTTTGTTTTTTTCATAAAGCTGTGTATTTATGAGAGCTGGTTAAGTAGGTTTACAGATGGAAAAAGATACCCCCCAAAAAAAAAAAGCAGGATCTCATTCAATGAAAGATAATGGCCATGCACGCCTTGGATAACCCCCCCTCTCTCTTTCTCCCCTCTGAACACTGTTACCCTTCTCATCTTGCCTCTCTCCTCTCAAGCTCAAGTCAATCTCAATGGGCCCCTAACCTCATGTGATTCCCTTAATTGACTGTCTGTGAGCCTCTTAAACTACCACTTCTCTTCTCTCTCTTAGGAGTCATTATATATAACAGTGTCTTTGTGACTCCAATACTCATCCAACTCAAGCCTTGAGAGGCTTTTTAGAGAAGCTTACAATGAGGATTCAATCCCTTTGTCGAGGGACACTTGTCGGTTTCTGGCTGGTGGTTTTGTTTGCCACCAGCTTCTGCTATGGCGGCGATAAAACAGTGCTTGAGGTTGTTGGGATTGGAGAGTGTGCAGATTGTGCAGAGAGTAATATAGAGACTAGTCAAGCTTTTTCAGGTACATTATTACTGTTTTTGTGAATGAACTAGGGCTTTTTGTGTTTCTTGATCATGTCTCTCCGCTTGGTACATTCTCATTTATTGATCATGCACTAGGGTTTTTGTAGTTTCTATCATCCTCCAAGTAGTTCTTTTAATCTGTACCAAAAACAATTACAATATTGGCTATACAATCCTCTTACACATATGAGACTCACAAAGGTGAAACTTATGAAGATTGTATTTGATTCTGTAATTGATTTAAAAGGGTCTTCATTGTCTTAAATGTTTCATAGTTGATCCATGCATGGCTTCATGAGGGGAGGGAGGGAGGAGTGGTGGCCATGGCTTTATCATCATGGGACACATGATTCTAAATTCATGGGCTTTTCAAAAAAAAAAAAATTACGAGCAAGGTGGGTATTAATATTTTTAATTTGAAAATATGTTAACTAATATTATTTTAATAAGAAGTGTTTTAAAACACAAGAAATGATCGGTTGAGCTACCTATTCGGATCCATCCTCATATATACTCTCTATATACATAGATTCACGTTTTATTTATTATTTATTTTTTATTTTTGGGATTATGTTTCATTAGTTCTCTCAAAGTATGCATTGTGTGTTGTTTTTATTCTCAACATTTTAAGTGTGTCAGTTTAGTTCTCTGCGCATGAAATTTGTGTTCAAATGGCCTCCCAACATGAATGTGGTCTAAACTAATTGATGTTAGCAGGGGCATTTTGGACAAAAGACATTAAGATCTCACCAGTTGAAATCCCTTACTCTTTCTTTTGGCTAATGTGTTACTATATTTTGCCAAAAATTCCACTGTTATAGTAACAAATATGGGCCGAAAAGATAAAAATGATTATTTTAAACTCAAATTTCATACATTGAATATTAAACCGATAAAATTGAAATATTAATGATAGAAAATGACAAGAAATACATATTTTAAAAATAATGTATTTAACTCTTTATTTTTTTTTAATAATCAAATGCTAGCTAATAATCCAAATTTCTCTTTATTTTCTAGTGAGAATTTCATTGATTTTTAATTAATAAGCATTACAGTCAAAATGACAGATACTACCTACAACTCAAATATGCAATTGTCCATTTAATTGAACACTTAATGAAAGATGACTATACACATTTCTAAATTCTACATTTGTAAGGAGAAGAATACGGATGTGAAAGAAAATATTTAAGTGAAAATTTCGGTGATCATAGGAGTGTTGTATTTGTAATTTGCTTTACTTTATACAGGGCTTCGCGTAACCATCGACTGCAAGCCTACAAATGGAGAGTTCAAAACAAGAGCTGCTGGAGAGCTCAACGAACAAGGAAAATTCAAAGTCTCTCTTCCTAAGGAAATCTTTGAAGACGGAAAATTGAAAGAAGAGTGCTATGCACAGCTTCACAGTGCATCATCTGCACCATGCCCTACCCACAGTGGCCTTGAGTCCTCAAAGATAGTCTTCAAGTCCAAAACCAATGATGGCAAACACACCTTCACCACCACTGGAAAACTCAAGTTCTCTCCGGTGACTTGCACTTCGGCTTTCCTTTGGCCTCACTTTCAGTACCCTCCTTTACCCAAAAAACCACCTTGTCCTGAAAAGCCCTTCCCCAAGTTCTTCCTTCCACCTTTCCCTCCTAAGGTCTTCCCCCCAATATATAAGAAGCCACTTCCTCCAATTCCCATCTATAAGAAGCCTCTTCCACCGCCTGTACCGATATATCAGAAGCCACTTCCACCGCCTACACCAATATATCAGAAGCCTCTTCCACCGCCTGTACCGATATATCAGAAGCCTCTTCCACCGCCTGTACCAGTATATCAAAAGCCACTTCCACCGCCTACACCAATATATCAGAAGCCTCTTCCACCGCCTGTACCAATATATCAGAAGCCTCTTCCACCGCCTACACCAATATATAAGAAGCCTCATCTTCCACCGCCTATACCAATATATCAAAAGCCACTTCCACCGCCTACACCAATATATAAGAAGCCTCTTCCACCGCCTGTACCGATATATCAGAAGCCACTTCCACCGCCTACACCAATATATAAGAAGCCTCATCTTCCACCGCCTATACCAATATATCAAAAGCCACTTCCACCGCCTACACCAATATATAAGAAGCCTCTTCCACCGCCTGTACCGATATATCAGAAGCCACTTCCACCGCCAACACCAATATATAAGAAGCCTCTTCCACCACCTGTACCGATATATCAGAAGCCCCTTCCACCGCCTGTACCGATATATAAGAAGCCACTTCCGCCGCCAGTGCCAATTTACAAGAAACCACTGCCTCCACCTGTGCCCATATACAAAAAGTCACTTCCCCCTCCAACATACGAAAATCCACTCCCGCCACCAGTTCCAATCTACAAACCTCCAATATACAAAAAACCACTCCCACCACCAACTCCAATCTACAAACCAAAGCCACCAGTTTTCAAGCCTCATCCGATATACAAAAAGCCACTTCCGCCAATTCCGATATACAAAAAACCGCTTCCACCGCACGTCCCATATTATCCATTTAAACCATTGCCACCAATTTCTAAACCTCTTCCTCCATTCCCAATGATCCCTAAGAAACCTTGTCCTCCTTTCCCCAAGATTCCACCAATGTCCTTGCATCCCTTACCTCCTTACTCTCCTCATCCTTAATTAGGCTACAATCCTATTCTTCTAGGGTTTTATTTATTGGATAAATGGTGTTCTTTGTTTGCTTTAGAGCTTAATTTGCTTCAAATTTCAGTACTATAATAAAGCCTACATGAGAGAGAGAGAGAGGGGGGACTTGAAGAGAAAAAAATGAAAGATTGATGGTGAGAAAGAAAGAGTGAGTAGATCAGTGTTGATGATCAAATGAGGGTGAATGAGTGTGAATGTAGTATGCTGGTTTGGTTTGGAACCTTGTATATGTTCAAATGGATAAGTTATCCAGAATATGTAATAGTTCAGTTGCTTTTATTCTATATAAATTATGAATTCTTGTTGTTATGATCGAGTCGTTAACAAGATTTTATGTAATATTCAACAGATGGAAATATGCAAAAAATATTTCTGTTTGGTTGTGTTTTTATTTTTTTAAAACACAACCAAACATGCATCCTAAACACAAGTCGTGAGAATCTTGTGCACGATTTATTAATCTGTTTTAATTTCCAAGGTCTACCAGCCCTTGGAGAAAATCATTTTTCGTACAAGAAATCTTATCCCATGTACAAAATATAGTACATTTTCTTCTATAATTGATAAGAAGCAACAAGTGCTGAAGTTGAATTGTAGTGTATCTATAGAGGGTTGACTATCATTTTGAAGAAAGATATGAGGAATATTCATATAGAGTTTGATACAGAACAGATGGTCGTTCTCATCGATGGGAAACACCAAACCAGTTCTTTTATGGAGCTCTTCTTAAAGACATCAAGTTTCTTAAGGGCAGATGCAGTGCACCATCTCTGTCAAGCATATCTTGAGAGAGGCTAACCAAAGTGTAGATGGGTTAGCGAATATTGGAGTCAATTATCTTAAAGAGCTAGTAGTACTTGAGGACTCGTCAAGAGAAATTACAGACCTGTTGAGTGCAGATATTGTTAGGGCATCAAGTGCTAACTCCTAGTGCTCTGTTTGGCTCTTTTTTTGTTTCTATCTTCTGTTTTTGTTGACTTTAGTTGCCTTTTCCCTTGAATCAAAAAAATAAAAAAATAAAAAATAAGAACATAACCTATAAAATTTCGAGTTAAAATTATTGAACATACACTGTAGCACAATTTTTTGGTTATAATTATTTTTTTGATTATTTAACAATGGTGGATTAATATTATTCTAATTATAAACTTTTTTTTTGCTAAGTCATTAACTAAGAATATCACATAAATAATATTGTTTGATATTTTGAAATTACCTAATAATTACTCGTTTTTTAATAGGCGGAAGTGATTCATCAAAAAATCTATTAATGCTTTATTTGGTTCACTGACATGAGATGTAGTGATTATTCTTTATGCTTTTATATGAAATGACCATTCACTTAAAATAATGAATAATGATTCTATTTATAACACATTTTATCATAATTTTTTTAGTCAACTAAATATAATAATGAATAGTTTGATAGAATCACCATTCCATTCTGTTTTATTTTAGTGAACAAAATGGGGTCATTTCTTTCTTGGGCCATGTTAGGAGTTCTTTTCTTTATTGGGTCGACCTAGGCTTCCAGATCCAATGAGGAGGGATTCTATTTGCACCAAAAAAATAACTCAATACGTCTAATTAAAATTTTGAAATTTTTGTCCCTATTAATATAAATTTAATAATAAGGACAATACACATTAAACTTTAAAATAATTTTTTTTCTTCCCATGGTACACCCAAACCACTTATACGTATTTTTTATATTCAACCTTCTTCATCTTCTTCCCTCCAAGTTTTCATTATTTCTTTTCATTTTTTTCCGAACTCCAAAATTTCAATCCACCTCACAATAATTCACTATTATCAACTATTTCTTTTCCTTTTTCTTTGTTCTTTTGAATAGAGTCATCTGGATTAAACTTTGTTTTGAATGTCCACTTCATAACAACTATTTCTTTTCCTTTTAGTTTCTCCACTACCTTCCAAGTCTTGTTCTTCTCAATCATATGAATTTTATCTTCCATTGCTTTCTTCCATGCTTCATTTTAAATTGCCTCTTCAAAATTTTCACGTTCAACAATGCATAAATTGCATCTTGCATACACATCACTAAGATTTTTTGAAGTTGAACTTGGAGATGAAGAACTTAAACTTGAACTTGAACTAGAACTTGAACTTGAACTTGCAGAAGAATTTGAACTAGTAATCGGTGACAATCGTTGTAGAGATCCAAGCGTTGCAACATCTTCAACTTGTGGACTTTCCGATTCTTTATTGAAAGCAATGCTTTGATCTTGGACTTTGTTTTCCTTTCAATCAAAAGACGCTTTCTCATCAGAGAACATTTCTACAAATAATCACCTTCTTTTGATCCAAACTGAAGAGTTTATAGCCTTTGGATTTTGAGCTATAACCCACAAAGATGCATTTCTTACTATTTTCATCAAGCTTGTGGCTCACTTTTTTAGAACATGAGCATAACAAATGCAACCAAACACCTTCAAGTGATTCACCGATGGTTTCCTTCCACTCCAACCTTCAAATGAAGTTTTGTCCTTAAGAGCTTTTGTAGGACATTTATTCATCAAGTAAACTACTGTATACACGACTTCACCCTAAAAAGTTTTGGGTAGCCCATTCTCATGTAGCATAGACTTGGACATCTCCTTTATGATTCTATTCTTCCTTTTCGCTACTCCATTTTGTTGTGGAGTGTACCCAACAGTCAATTTCCTTTCCATACTAATATCTTCACAAAATTTCATAAACTCACTTGAGTTGTATTCTCTGCCTCTGTCACTTCTCAATACTTTCATCAAACAACCACTTTGTCTTCCAACAAGATTTTGAAATTTCTTGAAGATAGAGAAAACTTCACTATTTTGTCTCATGAAATACACTCAAGTCTAGTAAAATCATCAATAAAAATAATGAAGTACTTGTTACCTCCATGAGTTAGTATATCCATAGGTTCGCTCACATCGATATGGACAAGCTCCAATGGTGCTTTAGCTCTCCATGCTTTCTCTTTTGGAAATGACTCCCTGTGATACTTTCCAAGTGCACAACCTTCACAAATATGTTGCACTTCATGAATGGTCGGTAACCCAAAAATCATATTCTTTTGTTGTAGATGCTTCAAGCTTTGAAAATTCAAGTACCCAAATCTTCTATGCCAAAGCCATAAATTATCAATCACATCCATCTTCAAAGCCGCATTTTTGTTATACCCAAAAATGAGAGGAAAACTTCTATTCTTCTTCATCTTGATTTTTGCTACAACTTGGCTTTTTTTTCCTTTGTCAAAAATTTTGCGAAAATCTTCTTCAAAGTGAACAAGGTATCCATGCTCCATAAGTTGTCCAACACTTAGCAAATTTTGCTCCAAGTCTGGAACTAGGAGAACATCGGAAATGAATTTTGTACCCATCTTGGTTTCTATAGCAATAGTACATTTTCCTTTTGTTTGGACTATGGCACCGAGGAAAACTTCTATTCTTCTCCATCTTGATTTTTGCTACAACTTGGCTTTTTTTTCCTTTGTCAAAAATTTTGCGAAAATCTTCTTCAAAGTGAACAAGATATCCATGCTCCATAAGTTGTCCAACACTTAGCAAATTTTGCTCCAAGTCTGGAACTAGGAGAACATCGGAAATGAATTTTGTACCCATCTTGGTTTCTATAGCAATAGTACATTTTCCTTTTGTTTGGACTATGGCACCATTCCCCATTTTTACTTGAGAACAAACAGGGGACCACAAAGTGGTCAAACAGGGGCCAATGGTTATGTAAGTCCTCCAAGGCGTGGGACTGCCGTGGTGGTACTTACACAACATAATTGCTTATAAGGTCATAATCAAATATTCTTTAAAATATAAACAAACATATCCATGGGTTTCCTTTTAAGCAAATAGGGTTCAGAAATAAAACCACGTAACTGAAACCTTTATAAAACATAATTTTTATTAATATACTAATAAAACATAACTTGTGTAAAACAGATTTTGATAAGTCAAAACATAAGTAAAATACATTTTGGTAACTCTAGGTATAACATAACTCACTCTGCTATGTGCTTATAGCTGTTACCCCTTTCAGGTGACGAGATTTAGCGGGATCAAGATGGAAAATGAATCGTTATGTTGATTTGTTTTTTCTAGATTTCTATCTTTTTATTATCAGACTCTTGTAATACAATGAAGTTTAAATGACTATGTTTTGTTTCCTTTTAAATAAACAGTTGGTACTCAATTATTTTATTTAAATTATCCGCTTGCGTTGCGACTACAGAATTATCCGAATTATTTTATTTTTATCTTGTTATGACACCGAGCCTTTGGGTACTGGGTTTGAGTCGTGACAAAGTGGTATTAGAGCAATGGTTTTTTTTTAAAAAAAAAAATAAATAAATAAATAATAAATAACATATATATATAGTATAAGTTTTTAAATTTTTTCTGTATAATTTTCACATTATTTACAATTCACATTATTTAAATAATTTCAAAATAATATATATATATTAAACCTGCATTATTTGGTATTATGTGGTATGTCTAACGCAAATAAACCGTGTTATATATATGTCTATGCTAAATTTTCTTGTGTTGTAGGAAATGGCGAACCTAATGGAGTTATTCTGGTACGAGCCCCCAGAAGCTCATCTCCTCCCAAACCAATTAGAGGGCTGGGTGTGACTCAGAGAGTCTTGTCAAGCAAGCCCATCCAACACTTGACCATCTTATGGGAAGACCTGTTTATTTGCAGGCTCACCCCGATGAGGATTTATTATTCTAGAGACTTAGCCGAGGTAGCACTCGTGAAAGGTATATAGGACCAACCCACGTTGTTGGTCTTGCTCCGGACCTAGAACTGCCACATTTCCTGGTCGTACCTCTACCCGTAGGCTTTGCAGAGAGGAGGGGACCCGCATATCCTAGTAGCCACCTTCGCACTACGACACCTCCCCCACAGCACATTGCCTATACCCCAGCTGTGGACTTTACCGACGGTGCATCATACTTGGAGGTGCCGATACGGATTACTGGACGGGAATTTTGGGGTTATGATCACGGTGCTCTTGTTTACATAGTCCAGGTAGTATGGAGCTGCTTCGGAGTGGAGCTCAGTGGGTGGAAGTTTGAGTCCATCATGCAGAGTGAGTTTCCGAGGTTATTTCATGGGCCAGTGTTCCGAAGCCAGTTCTCTTGGTGGCCTAACGGTCAATTCTAGACATCTAACCAGAAGACCCTTTTTGTGAGCTGACCATGATTAGTCTAATCCTTATATTTTTGTATCAGTAGGATTAGACATTAATTTGTGACTGCCAGACTAACGCCCTATGTATGGTAACAATGATG